AATGAGAATGGAGAAATCGAATGTTATTACTGCCACAAGAAGGGCCACTATAAGAGGCACCGTAGAAAATTTAAAGAGGATCTGAAAAAGCTAGATGCAAATGCAAATGTAGTTGTGCATGATGTTCTTGTTTGTGTTGAGAGTAACATAATGTCGGTGGACCAGTCATCAGAATGGGTAGTAGACAATGCAGCTTCAGTACACATCTCTTCAGATAGGAGATTGTTCACATCTTTTACTGTAGACAACTATGGCATGGTGAGGATGAGAAATGGTAGGCTCTCCAAGACCAGAGGAATTGGAGATATCAATCTGAAGATCGAAAGTGGGACTGAGTTGGTTCTGCGAGATGTCAGGTACGTACCAACATCAGAATGAATTTAATATCTGCAGGGAAGTTGGATGACGATGGTTACAGAAGTTAGTTTGCTGGAAATATGTGGAAACTCACTAGAGGATTCGAGTTGGTGGTTGTTGGCCACAGGACATATACAGTGTACACAGTATGGTTTGATGTTGCCAAAGGATCAGAGAGACAGATGATGCACAGAGTTGCAGATTGTTTAGATGAAGATAGGAAAGAACCAGCAGCATTGACAACCTGGATAGATCCATCAGTTCAAGTTCAACAATTGGGAGGTCAGAGAAAGAAAAATAGTTCAGTTGGTTGTTAGGTAATAGCCCCAGTTGTCAGACGGTTCAACGAATTGATGAAGTCGCATAGACGAAAAGATGCATCGAAGAATAAGATCACAGTTGGTGCTGAGGTCGAGCTTGAAGTCTCTAGCTTGGTAACAGACTGGAGTGGGAGTGTCAAGTCATCGAAGAAGAATTCTTTCTTTGAGAGTCATTGGTTATGATCGAAGAAGGAAGCGTTGGGAGGTACCACTTAGTTCGAGTGGGAGCACGTGGCTGTGTCTTTTATGTCTGGAAGACAAAACCACGTAGGTTGCCCAGTCTAAAGGCAAGTACAGATGGAACCTTAGTTGTTTGGCAAGATGATCCGATGATGTTGTTGCAGTGGGAGGCAACATTGATGTTTTGTCTTCAAGTGAGAGATTGTTGGGAAACGTGGAGACAAAAAAAAAGAGAAAGAAAGGGATTAATGGTTGTTGGGCCAAGTAAAAACATAAAGCCCGACTTTAGTTTTCCTCCTCTATTAAGTTTCCTTTTCTTCTTTACATATATATGTGAGCCGTTACAGAAGCAAAAAAAATAGAGGCTGGTGGCGGCCATTTTTACCGGCGGAGGAAGATAGGAAAACGAGATCTTGGCATGTAGAGCGTCGTCAGCAATCCGTTCTCGCGATTCTTGTGAGGTTTTTCATTCTATAGCCCTAAGTAACTATTGTTGTAGTACTTAGAAACAAGATGACTATTGTTGTAGCATCTAGAGAGCATTTTAGTGGAAGTGAGGCCTATTGTAATCTTCCCATTATAGTGGAACCTGCATATTGCAGAAGATTGGACGTAGCTCCGAGCTTTGAGTGAATCAGTATATTTTTCTGGTGTTTATTTTCTATCCCTATCTCGTATTTTCTTTATTGCATTGATAAAACTGTGACTTGCTCATAACTGTGAAAGGGGAAAAATACTAGTTAGATTTGGATTGCTCTTGGTTGAGAAATAGAGATATTTTATTGTTACTGCATATATATATATTTTCTCAACATGTGCCAGATTCTCACAAGGAGTTTTGCACGAAAATACGCCTTACTTTCGTTAGAGCTCTTCTCTTCCTAATATATGGAGAGAGAGAAACCTGTTCAATAGGGGGTTCCACCCCCATCTCAGGTGTCCGCTAGGGAGCAATATGTCACGCCAAGGGTCTAGAGGAACCACTGTCATTCTCTCCTTTCCACATACTGCGATAGAGGGCGTGATAGCGTCGTGAGTGGTGCCTCAGGTATTGCGATTTGGGAATAGGGTGTGCTAGCTATCATTTGTATGAGACGTTTAGGAGTGCTCGACCCCATTCTCGATGCACTTAGATATCATCCGATGTGTTCAGCCGTTCCGAGTTGTTTTCTCCCACACAAACCATGTGGCTTAATTTGCTTGCGTAACATTTCATTTTTACCCGATAGAAGTATATAAAAAAAATGCCCAAAAGTTAGGATTAATCACATATTAAGAAATTCACTTACAATGAAGAATACCCATGAAGAATGGTGGTCGTTACAATTACACCCTTAAACTTTCAATTGTAAAAATTAAACCCTCGAACTTTTATAAATGAAAAAATTAAACCTTTAAACTTTCAATAGTAAGAATTAAATCCCTAAACTTTCACATATGATAAAATTGTACCCTCCAAATTAAAATTAAAATTAAACCCTAATTTTTTTTTTAAATGGTATTTTTTTTTTACAATTTCGTCCATATTATGTACCGAAAATATTCTCGATCTTCATTAATTTTGAATTCAATGAAGTTTTTTTGCTCTTCAATATCCGATTTTGCAAACAATTTTTATAAAGCTTTTTTCCTCGAGACTTGCCTAGTATTGCTCAAATTGCTCTCAGGGACGTCGAAATCCGAGAGATTGCTCAAAGTTTTTAAGTTTAAGCTTACAAAAGAAGACATGAATAATAATT